AAAAAAAAAAAAAAAAAAAAAAAAAAAAAAAAAAAAAGCAACAACAACAACAATGGAATATAGAAATTACATAGCACTGATCTTCCTGAAGTAGAACTACAACTTGGGTGGTAATTAATTAAGCTTTAGGCTTGCGAAGAAGAACAACCGAGTTGATGATATCATCTGTGGGGTGAAACATGGCAAGAACCTCAAAATTCACCATGTCACGTTCCTCAATCACAGGGTACAAGAAAGCCCTAGCCCCTTTTGCACTTCTCACAAGCAAAAACCCTCCTTCCTTCATGTACTTCCACATGTGCCCTAGAATCTTCACTTTTTCTTCTTTTCTCATTCCCACAAGTGCTGCCAAAAAGATGCAATCATATTGCCCTAGCCTCTCTCTCACGTCCACGATGTCTTGCGTCACAAACTTCATCCTCTTCTCAAGTGCCACATCAGAAGCCACGATCTTGCGTGCCACCTCATTGGCCTTGTGATCAACATCGAAGTTGTCAAAGTGCGTGGAATGCATGTGGTGTGTGGCCATTATGATGGAAGTTAGTGGCATTGGACCTGACCCTACAAACGCCACTTTCTTTGGGTTCACCACCCCGTTTTCCTTGAGGATTTTGTTCTCCAAGTGTGCTAGTTTGATGTAGTTTCCATAGTAGGGGAAGAGGGTCACGTTCTTCATTGGCTCGGGTGTGAGGATTAGGAAAGATGAGAATTCGAGCTCCAAGAGGGTTTCAGCGTCGCCACAAAGGTTGATGAGGCTCTCACGCATGTGTTGCACCTCTTGGGGCAAGGACTCGATGTCAATGGATGAAGGGAGGGTGCATAGTTTCACTAGGTGTGTGAAGAGACTATTGACTTGCTTGCAAGGTTTGAGAGATTCAAGCTTGGAGATGCTTGCATGAAGTTGCATGATCTGAGCTATGAGGTGATCGTTAGAAGCCATGTTGGTTTGAAATGAAATGAGCACAAGTTTTGAGGGATATAATTAAGGTAAACTAAACTGACCAGACAAAGGTTTTGTGTTTGCCTTGTGGAAAAATTAGAGGAGGGTTCGACTATTTATAGTTGCATGGGCATGCATTGTGGGACATTATTATATAATGATGTTAATTTGATCGGTCTTAAATCTTATTTGGTCAACTACAAAGGGGTGTTTCATGCCTTCAAGATTAATAACAATGTGTTGTCCATGATGGTGATAGATATACAGGTGTTATCTAGATCATCATCTAAATATTGGTCTATTTAAAAGCTGCCATGTATACATGTTTAAATCTACTAATTTATTTATAAGTATTTTTTTTCTATTATCAAATAAATAGATAGGACTCATCTTTAACAGGTTTTTTTTTTTTTTTTTTTAAATAACATGTTTGGTTTAAATCTTATAAAATTTAGTTATTTTTTATTTTTTAAATATTGCATATTTTTATGAGAGACAATCATGCTTAAACTATTTAATGTGATTGCATGCCTGAATTTAATTTAATCCATCCTATTTCTCCGGTTTAATCGTAATGCAGTGCACGGTAACAAATATTTTTTTAAAAAGAATGTTATAAAGCATTGAATAAAAAAAAATGTCTATTTTGGGGATACTGGACCATCAAGCGCGTGGAAGTTGCAAGTCTTGCTAATACTAAATTCAATAAAATGAAGGAGATGGTATCTATAGGTTTTCTTTGGTTCTTTTCACACCATGTGTAGAATGAGAATGTTGAAGCATATCTTAAGTATACAATGTGTTCACACTAAGTCACTAACACGAGAAGGTGAATATTTGGCTCGATCAAAGTCCCGCTGCGGCATGGAGCATGCACGTCAACCATTGAAGATCTTTGAAAAAATCTTTTAATCAAAAATGGAATAATATAAATAATCAGATAAGAATATTGTTATCCATATATGTTGATAGCACGAACTAATATGAATTTCTAAAACTTGCAATGTAAGATTTATATCCGTAGATTTTCATGCGACTCTCACGTAAATTCCTCTTAAAAGACTTATCCACAGATTCTCAAGTAAGTCCTCCAAAATATAATATATAGGATCTTCTCAATGCTAGATTGAAGGTACAAAATTGACAAATTCTTAATTCAGAAAAGAGAGAATATTAAGAAAGAGAGAAGAGAGCGGTCTATGTCTCTTACTCCTACCGATTTTTGATATTTATAAAAAGGGATACTAATCATTATAGCTATAACTAATCATGAGCATTAAAAGCAATTAATTTTAAAACATTTTCCAAATATTAATTAATTTATCATATTTGTTATTTATACTAATTTTTCTCTCTATGAAAAATTTTTCAAAGATTATAATTGCCTATATCATTCCTTAAATAATGTCTTGCAATTATTCTCTTCAGAATTGAGAGATTCCCAAATATTTGTAATTAAAAAATAAATTAAAATCCTAAATATTAGAGAAGTGTAAGAGATATTACATTGACTACGAGATGGCCAAATAATGTATGTTAGTGCAAAATAATTTTCACCTTATAAGTTGATTTTGTAGGGTTGGAACTCAAATATCAACTGTTGATTAAGATAGCCAAAATATTATATAGAAGTGGGAACAAGACTCACATTATAAATTGATTTTGTAGAATTGAATTAGACCTAAATCCACTTTCTTAAAATGGTATCAAATCATATTCTAGTGATTATTGTTGAGCTTATTTTGTCACTTGTTATTGGGTCATTATATTGAACCACCTAAATGTTTAGTCCTAAAATTTCATGTTCGAGATGTTTAATCCTTTGCATAGGAGTGTGTTAGAGATCTCACATATAGTGAGATGATCATAATAATGTATATAAGTGAGAAAAAATTCTCACACTATAAGTTGGTTCTATAGGGTCATATATTATACCTAAATTCTTATTCTCAAAATGGTATTAGAGCCTATCCTATAGTGATTTTTGTTGAGCTTATCATGTCCCATGTTATCAAACGATTATCCCACAATTACCATTGAGATGATAAAAATAATGTACATGTGAATAATCAATTTTATCCAGACTCACAAAAGTGATGAAATAGACATCTACTATGAAGGGAAGGAGCTCCCGAAACATGCCGACAAGAAGACAGGACTTTAGAGGGCCCAAAAGCACAAATTAAGTAAATTTTTTTTTTGGGCCCGGAACGGGCCGTTCCAAGGTCCAGAACGGGCCGTTCCAAGGCTCCAAAAAGGCCAAAAACCCTAATTTGGAACGGGCTGTTCCGAAATTGGAACGGGTCGTTCCAATATTGGAACGGGCCGTTCCTACATCTGGAACGGGTCGTTCCAAGGCTGTTCCGGTCTAAAAAATTGGGTGTTATTCTCAATACTGGAACGGGCGTTCCAATATTAGAACGGCCGTTCCTAAAACGGAACGAGCCGTTCCTACATCTGGAACGGGACGTTCCAAGGCTGTTCCGGTCTAAAAAAATTGGGTGTTATTCTCAATACTGAAACGGGCCGTTCTGATTTCAGAACTGGCCATTCCAGTATACGAATTTTTCACACAACGGCCATGTCCGCTCAATAACTTTAAATTAAATGTGAATTTTGTAAAGTCAACTGTTAGATTAAAAGTTCTTTATTCTTAAATTATATATACAAAATTTTATATTAATCCAAGATGATTTAATACTTCATTCTTATAAAATAAAATTGATGTAACATATATATTTTAAAATATACTAAAATATGAACACTTTTATTATATTTAAATTGTTGTTTAATTTTAACAAAATTTGATATAAACATATAAAATGATATGAATTTTCAATCTAACGATTAAATTTACAAAATTTACATTTAATATAAAGTTATTAAACGGTATAATACTTAATATATATATATATATTCTTGCTGGATATCGATTATGAAGTTAGAACCTTAAGAAATCTTGACTACTTTTGTCAATAAAACAATAAAAATGTTTATTATAAATATATTAAAGTTAAAATACTCCCACCATTTATTTATCTGTATTTTATTTCTGTTTATTTAAGATTTTGAGATAATATTTTTTTTAATTAATCTTTTTTCTCTATTTATAGATTTATTGCATTTTTGTTTCTCAGTTTCAAAATCTTACAAATTTGGTCAATAAAGAAGTTATTTTTTACGAATATGGCTCTTCAATTTAAAGAATATCGCTAAATTTAACCACATAGAAAATTGTGAAAGTTTAAAGGGAAGTAGCCACAAAATATAGTATATTACAATGCAACATGCAAGATTGAACGGGTAAAAATAATAATAAAAAATTTAAAATAACCTTTTTTCATAAACTAATGACAATTTTAATGTGTGTATGTAACAAATCTTTCGATCAAAAAATATAGTATATTATAATAATAAAAAATTAAAGTCAAATTTATTTTAAAATGGAGGCAATTACTTAATTAAATAAAATGAATGAAACAGTTATATGTTATAAAATTAAGTATAGTAACATAATAAAAACATAATTAATAATATATATATATATAATAATGATAAACAGTAAAATTTTAGTGGGCAATTATCCCACTGTTGTGACCGTGCATTTGTTTCTGACCCACCATTTTTTTTATCTATATCATATTTCATTTACTATTACTATGTTTTTTAGTATCAATACAATTTCTTATTTTGAGGTTCAATATTTCGAAAAATATAAAAAAAATCGTGGTTGGGGAGGTTATAGTAGCAAGAGCCATTGGAATTTTTTTTTTATACATTGGAAGGACCACACATAAAATATTGTACTTAAATTTTATCCATATAAATATAAATATAAATAATAAAAATATATATTTAACACCTTATAACTATTTCAACAAACACATTTCAATAAATATTCTTTATCTCACCATATTACAAGTTTTCCAAAGTACGTAACATTGAGAAATCCCCTCTCACATTGATCGAGCCACATGCAGAATAATCAGTATTTTACGCCCCAATTTTAATTTGTTGAAACAATATTTAAATTATTGAAGCATAGGACACAGACACTCCATCTATACCCCTCAAAAAACAATCAAAAAACTAAACATATGTGTATCATACACTAAAATCGAATCAAATCCATTAATCAAGGTTATATTTTTTTTAATGCATAACTAGTTAAAGGTATGTTTGAACAAACTTCTCTATAAATATTCATAAAAAAAATTATCTAATAACTAAACTAATTTATGTTTAAGTTAATTTGTAAAAACTCTATAATATTGAAATTAGAAAAATTAATTTCATTGTTTTTATTTTCTTCCTCATATATTTCTTGAAACATTCCAAAATTTACGTATACACGCAGTTGATATATAAGTTCCCTTAATCAGACCAAAAGTCATTTATCAACCGCATCTCAACATTACGGCAGCGAAAGATCAAAGTGTGGAAAGAATTAATCCAATAACACCATATATATATCACTTTTCTATAGTGTAAATAATTAAACCTTTGATTACGATGATGAGTACTTTCAACAAAGAGTTTGAGCACAACACACAAACCTAATTAAGCAAAAATTAACAAGTGATTATATCGAAATAGAGTTCCGGGTCAGCAATATACAAATTTTCAGGGACCAAGAAAATATGTTTAGGTTTTGTCTTGAACGCCACATTGCAAATTCAGAGTCAAACAATTTTAGGTTCGCACTTCACATTCATTGATACATAAATTTTTTCTATGGGTTTTATTATAAACATGTTATTGACAACGATCTATTGACTTTGTCAATAATTAGTTTATTGAAAAATTTAACTAACCATTTTTAACCATTTTTAATAAGATCTATCTTTTCAAATACAGTTTTTTCGTCCACATTTTATTGTAATGACATATTTTAATGTATTTTTAAAATAATACTTATTTTTGGAAATATTTATGAGATGATATTTAAAATAAATTAATAATCAATAATAGAATACATTAATTCTCAGCGTTTTTGTGAGTTAATTTCTCTAAAGAAAAGGTAAACATGCAGAAAATAAGTCCAAAATAGTTGCTGCAGCTTAAGAAAAAA